CCCTATCTCTAAGGGTGAGCCCAGCCACCCTGCGGAGGAAACCCATTTCGGCCGCTTGTATCTTGTTGCTGTTTTCCTTCCTTGAAATGCATTTGGACACACGCTATGTTCCTCACAATGGAAACCAATCACAGTCATAGCTCACACCTGGGATAGATTTGGAATTACATCATCCTCGTTAACGGTTGGGAACTGAGCACTACCTTCATTTCAAACAGAACCCAGCAATGAAGACGGTTGAAGAAATTCAAGTGGAGAAACAGGAGCAACATGGCCATAACAGTTCGATGTTTGAGATTTTAGGACTGAAAAATAGTTTGTATCAGTTTAAATGTCTTATATTTTCACAGTGGATAAACTACATTTCTGCATTTAAGAACTCACCACTCACTTTGTTGTATTTTGATGCTGACGCCTTTACAAGTGGTGTAGAATTTGTAGCAGAGTGGTTCTACCTGTTAGTACATCAGGTGGTTTCTGAGAGTTACAAGGTTCTGTAAAATCACTCTGCAATACAGCAACGTACTGATATTAGACAAATTTAATTTGTACTTTTGAATACTTTATTATTTTTAAATCCATGTACTTTTTAATACTTAAGTATTTCCAAAACTACTTCAGTACTTTAACTTAAGTAGATTTTTGACCGAGCAACTTTTACTTGTAGTTGAGTAAGATTTGACCATGAGTATCAGTACTTTTACTCAAGTAATAGAGTTGAGTACTTTGTCCACCACTGATTAGGACATTTTAGTGAAATCATTACTGCAGCATCAGAGCACAAAATTGACTCTTATTAGACTTAAAACTGCAAGTCAACTACAAAAAAAGTATGGAATCATATGAAAATAAATACCATGTGAAAAAATTACTAATAAAAACATTTTTTCCTACACTTAAATATTTTATTCAGTGGGTTATTAATGATAAAAAGCCATTTTCCCATTTCGTCTTTATTTGATTAAACAAAATGGACAGCCTACACAGAATACAGTATGCAAATTAACATTACAAAATCTACAAAATGATACAGTGACGTTTGCGCAACCGGTGTGTGTACAGTAAAAACTGATACAATACTGTTTTCTGTTTGTGTTTTCAATTCATCKGTGTTTGGCACTTGACCACAAGATGCTACTGAAATGAAACATGGAGTTAAAAAGCACCGTTTTGTTGTACAGGAAGGTGCAGAAGCCCCAATTTCTTTTTCTTTCTTTTTCTTTTTTTTTTTTTAATTATCTGTCGGCATACAGTAAAAAAAAAAACGGGGCAAAAAGAGCAAGTTTAACTGTCACGGTATTTACTCAGGTGAGGACAAACATGAAGGAGACATGATCGGTAGAAAATTTTATTTTTCTTGCACTTTACTTTGGAGACTGAACACAGTCGCACAGGAAAAACAAAACAAAAGGAAATGCTGTGAATGATTGCCATCTTTAAAAATAACGCGATTTTTCAAGTTAAATGCATCACGTGGTCCTCTCCTTTTTATTTATTAATTTTTTTAAACACGTCTAATATAAATATGAGTGAATATACTGTTTCGTTCATGTCAAATAAATGAAATAGTTAACACGTTCCTGTCAAGATTTAAATGCTGCAGCAAACTGCCACATCAGAACAAAAGAATAAGTAAGTTCATACCTATAAATTCAGATAATAATCATAGTTGAAGAAAAAAAACTAACTTTATATGTCAAATTCATGTGTGTGAATCTGTACACAAGTTAGCTGTAATTCCTCTTCATTCAGGAATCAAGTCAGTTTTGGTACAATAAAACATTCTTCAAAAAAAAAAAAATCACATAAAAAATGTATATGTCTGAAAACTACAATTCCCAGATTTATAATCTAAAAAAAAAAAAATCCTGCCAGCTGGGAAAACTTGTAGCCCCCGATCTGTACACTTCATTTTTTTATTTTCCAGTGTTGATATTGAAATACTTCAAGACCTGTTCACCATCAAAAATCAGTTCCACAGATGAATCAAGCATGATTCACTTTAAATAGGGAATTATGCTTTAAACAAAAAATAATAATATTAATAACAATAAAAACGAAACTTGGTTTTGCCTCATCGTACCACACAGGATAACTAGATTATCCTCGCCGGGCCGTCGGCTCACTCCCAGTGCAGGGACGGCTTCGATTTCAACAAGTCTTTGATGGGATTTTTTTTTTTTTAGTCCTTCAAGTCATACTTGTACCACGTAAGAGACCCGTGTTCTCACGGAGCCTTTGACCAGACAGAGGCGCATGAACGGTGCGTCTAAAAGATTACGTCAGGCGTTAGCATTTACCGTCTGTACAACTGCAGCTGGGCGCGTTTCCTGTTCATGGGCCTCTACAGGTCCAGGGGTCGAACCTCAAAGAATCTCAGGTGGGTCAGGAAAGAGAAATTTGTATAAATGTGCTAAATGAGACGTGGGAGGAGTCCAGTCTCCTACTGCCCGGCACTACTGGGATCACACTGCAGCAGTCGCACGATGGAGGGGTCGTTTTTTGCTCCCTCGACGAACTCCTCCAGAGACAGTTTCCCTGAAAGACCAGAGGATTTAGAGTTAGAAACGGGTTAAAAAAGGATTTACTAAAACTGATGGGAGGCCGAGGATCAGGAAACCTCACCATCTCGATTTGTGTCCATCTGCCTGAAGATCTTATCTGTGCGTTTCTCAGGTGTGGATTCGTCCTCGGGCATTTTCATAACGGAGGAAACCATTTTGTAAATGGCCTGAAAGCAGATGAAAGGGAAAAAAAAAACTTTCACTAAAGACAAGAAGGGAGGAGGCTGCAGCTCRCTAACAGCCTAAAGCACAACTGCCAAGTCCGGCACAGGAAGAGACTTCGTTGTGATTTATTAAATCCATCATCTCAGCAGAAAGACAAATAAAGAATTCTTTTTATTTATTTTTGTCCCCTAAAACTAAAAAGAAGCAGTTACATCAAGACATACTTTAGATTTTTAGATAAACAACCTAAAATCTAAAAAAATAAGCTTCAAGTTTCACCAGTCTGGATCAGATGCTGGTTTTGGGATTTTATCAGCACCTTCTTGATAAAGTCTAGAGAAGTACATTCACTTTGTTACAGTACTTCAGTAATTTTTTTGAGGATTTGTAACTTTACCGGGTTTTTTTTTAATCACATCATTTACTTTTGTTGTGTTACATTTAAAAACACATGAAAAAGATACTTTTACTTCTTTAAAATTTAAAACCTTGCTACACGTTATTAATTTAAATTTGACCGGAACTCAAAGAAAAAAAAAAAAGAGTTGTTTATGCAAAAAATTAATTGTGTAAAAGTACTTTTACTTTCCTGATTACTATGAGTTTTATAACTTTTACATAAATATTTTCACATTTCTTATTTTCTGATAAGGTATTTTTAATGTTACTTATTTCTTTTAGGTACTTTATCTACCTTTGATAAATTCCAGGTTGCTTAAATCCAGGAATTTAACTGCTAAAACAAAAAGAACTGATTTGAAACATTGAGCCACAAAACCACCTTTGATCTGAAGGCATTTTTAAAAAATAAACCATCTTAACCATTCTCTATGTCAATTAGGGCTGCCATGATTAATTGACGACTAATCGATTATTAAAATAATCGATGACTAATTTAATAATCGATTAATCGTTTTCTTTTTTTTTTTGTTCTTTACTTTGTTTTTCTCTCAAACTGCTTTGACACCTTCCACTGCCACATCTGCCTTTCTGTCCTTGACACACATGCACAGTAG